ACACACACACACACTGTGATTCCCAGACAGGGGTGACGCTGGTTGAAGGGCATGCGCACAAGTTGCTGGGTGAGAGACCTCAAAATTAAAATGAGCTAGAGAGCTTTAAAACCCTTTCTTGGGTGGGATTTTTGTTGAATTCTTGGCATTTTTGTGGTGGATTGTACTGTGTAGGGTTGTGAGTGAATGTTTTTGCAAAAAAAATGAAGTTTTTCCATGAAATTGCCTTGTTATGGGCTTGTCTGTTGCCATACACCCCTCCTGCCTAGTGCCTTGGTATCGACCTAGAATATGGGGTCAAAGTGCACGGATTCTTATAAACAAGGCTGTACCTCGAGACTAGCCGTCCACTTTTTTCCGAAACTTGTTGTAGGTACATATTATTAAATTGGCTAACACGTGAAGGTGAGTTTGTGTGACAAAAACTTCGTAAACTAGAGATATGATGCCCATTTTCATGTCTGATTTAGCATATGTTTTAATGGAGAACCGTTTCACTGCTGTCTCCCCGACACCCTTAAAACCAACGGTACTAAAATGCACTTTCCACAATCCGTCACACTAATTTACGCAGCACCTGTAAAATATCTTGTAAAAAACCTACAAAGCTCTTAAGAAGTGCTGATGACATGAAAACATTTATAAATGAAGACTGCATTGGTGGATGACTTGTCCTTGGTACAAGTCCTTGTTACTGAACTGTTTTTTTTCTGTATAATCACAAATCGTTTAGTAAACAAGGAGAAGTCGTAGACATCATCCCTCCATGAAATAGCTTGTTATTTTGTAATCTTTTGGTGTATTTCAATAGCAAACTCTATAACTGTTATAGAGTTTGCGAATATACTACTGGGGATGGTACCCAGGCTACATTTGCCTGTACATGTAGGTCAATGACCAGGCAAATGACCTGCAGACCAGACAAACAAGATTTATTTTCCTGCACTCTGTCTAGGGCCGGTAAAAATAGATAGGGCTGCCTGCCAGCTGGAGGTATAAACAAAAACACTCTGTCCCAACTTTTGGGTCAAACAGACCATCCTATTATGAAGTAGGGGTGAAAAAGTGAAAATCCTTTTAAATTAAGCAATAAAAATATGCGACAACCTGCTAATGCACTCTAAAAACACAAAGAGACTCAACAACTACCCACATACCAAAAATCATACCAAACCATCCCCCAGATTTTCCAAACATTCAACACAAAAAGTCCAACATTAAACATT